AAAGTGGGTTAGGATCACTTACCAAAGTTTTGGGGAAGAATTGGTCCTGGAAGAATCGCCTCTAGGGTTCTAGGATTTGAAAATTTGAAGAATGGGAGAAAATCCCGTCTAGCTTAAGTTTTGAACAGTTGCAGGTGTCGCATTTGTGACCTGGGGTTCGCAAATGCGAAAAAGACTTTGCAAATGCGAAGATTGGCTGAACCCGCTGACCTCGCAAATGCGACCCAGTGTTCGCAAATGCGATCAAAAATTTCACAAATGCGAAGGTGTCCCTCCCAGCCCACTGCTCGCAAATGCGATGGCCTCTTCGCAAATGTGAGGCTCACATTTGCGAGCCAGACCTCGCAAATGCGAAGTCTGCAGATCTGGTGCATCAACAGCTGAATTTTTCTAAGTTCAAACACTCCGTAGCCTATTCGAAACTCACCCGAGCCCCCGGGGATCCAAACCAAACATTCACGCAAGTCTTAAAACATCATACGAACTTGCTCGCGCGATCAAATAGCCAAAATAACACCTAGAACTATGAATTTAGCACCAAATCCAATGAAATTATCAAGAACACTTTAAAATTTCTATTTTCTCAACCGGACGTCCGAATCACGTCCAACCAACTCCGTTTCTCACCAAATTTCACAGACAAGTATTAAATATAATAATGAACCTGTACCGGGATCCAGAACCAAAATACGGACCCGATACCAACAAGATCAAACATTAACCAAATTCTTAATACTATTAGATTTTCAGTCTTTCAATTTTTAACAAAAATTCATATCTCGAGCGAGGGACCACGGAATTTGATTCCGGGCGTACGCCTAGGTCCCATATTTTATTATGGACCCACCGGGACCATCAAAACACGGGTACGGGTCTGTTTACTCAAAACGTTGACCGAAATCAACTGAAATAAACTTTTAAGGCAAAAACTATTATTTTCATCAACTTTCAACATAAAAGCTTTCCGAAAACACACTCAGACTGTGCACGCAAATCGAGGAGGGTAAAAATAAGATTTTTATGGCTTAAGACCACAGAATCGAGTTCTAAAACATAAGATGACCCTTTGAGTCATCACATGTACACGACCAAAAATAGCTTGTGCTATAAGTAAATTGAGTCGATACACGAGCAATCCAGGTCAATCTCATTGTATGGCACTGAAACGAGTTTTATGATATTTAAAACATACCCAGGTTTGCTTTGCATTACAGTAAGTATCCTGCGGTGATTGAAGGATACTGTGATGCAAATTGGATCACCGATTCAATTGATTCTAAATCCACAAGTGGATATATATTCACTATTGGTGGAGGAGAGGTACTTTGGAAGTCGTCCAAACAAAACTTGTATTGCCACTCTACAATGGAGGATGAGTTCATAGCCTTAGATAAAGCCGGTGAAGAAGTTGAATGGCTCTGAAATTTCTTGGAAGATATTCCATTTTGGCCCAAACCGTTGGCCCCAATATATATACATAGCGATAGTCAAGCGGCAATTGGAAGGGCTGGGAGTGTTATGTAGAACGGTAAATCTTGTCATATACGACGAAAACATAAAACAGTTAGGCAATTACTCTCTAGAGGAATTATCACGATTGACTACGTAAAGTCAAACGATAATGTGTCAGTTCCACTTACGAAAGGCCTAACTAGAGAGGTAGTTGAGAAATTATCGAGGGGAATGGGAATAAGGCCGAGGACAAGTCATTGTGGCGGTAACTCTACCTAGAAGAATGGAGATCCCAAGATCTAGGTTCAAGGAGATCAAACAAAGTCAATGATGGTTCAACATTGTTAATAAAATTTTGGTCCATTCTCGTGATGACGAAATGTTCAGTACCAAGGATAAAATATTAAGGCTTTTTAATGGTTTCTAAATTTGATACAGGGTATATCTAATAGTGTATCTACGGGATGACACGTTAGGAATCACCTATGTAAGTGTGAAGTATTAGCCGCTTCAAGGAGAATTTGTAAGGCCAGTTCTCTACACACTTATGAGACCAAGCGGTGTTCATGGTTGAAACAAACACAACAATGAGAATCAAAGACAGTTAAGGGTTGATTGTGTGACTTATGGTTGTCTAGGTATACACCAAAGTTCGACGGTTCAAAGATATCAAATCTACCGATTGACCGACTATATCTAACATAAGTTCACTATGGAAAGTTCAAAGGGAAACCTACTTATCCAGATGTGATTAATCTTTACTTGCGAATCACACAATTTTTCATGCATATTTGCGTGATATAGCCATTCCCCATTCATGTGGGGGATTATTGAGTTTTAAGCTTAGTTTAGCTTGAAAGAGGGTGAATGGGAAATGGAGGGAAAAATAAAATTTTGATTTTCCCTTCTTGACAAAGGGACATTGTCCCATATTGGAGGAGGAAAAGACTTTTGATGGGTATATATACAATTGCTCTTATTCTAGCTCTTAAAGAATTAAGAAAAAGGCAAGCCTCGCGCCGTTGTCGTCGTCGTCGCTCGCTCGGCTCGGCTTCGGCTTCAGATTTGGATTTGAATTCCGATTTGGATTTGAATTCGGATTTGGATTCGGATTTGAATTTGGATTTGGTCAAATGATCGACTGATTAATTGTTTGGACCAAATTTATTTGTTAATATTAAGATTAACGTAATATTATTTTAATCCAAATTCGTCGTTTTTGTAATGATAAATTAATTTTCCTCCGTGTTTTGATTTTCCATTTTATTTTGCATAAATAGCCATTTACGTAATGGTCGTTTTACGTGAACAGTCATAACAGACATTCTGAAGAGTTGCACCTCTTCGTTTAAACTCAACATGTTGGCTATAAATAGCAGACCATTCCCTCAGATTTTTCTTACGAAAATTCTGAAATCACCTTCTTTCTTCTGCATTGTTTTAACTACAAAGAAAGCAACAGTAAGTGTGATTTGCTACCGATCATTGTGTTCGCTGAAACACTGGGATTTGAAGTACCGCTACACCAGTGTGTAATCCGTTCTATCTTGGGAGGAAATAATCCACAACCTCGGGTACTAGGAGGGGATTAAGTTCCTTAAGTAAATACTGTGAATTCACTAGCTGGGCTCGAATTAAATTCTATTTCTTCTACATTTCTGTTTATACGTTATTTTTCCTTCTCCAAAATTATTTTACAAATATAGTATACTAACAAAGTTTGGTGAAAGAGCTGGATTGGACTCATTACATGTAACCTTACTTTGTATTTTAGCAAAATCTGTTTTCATAGCTTGAACGTCCAAATCATTCGATGATAATCTTACACTTGCACCAAAAAATACTTTAAAATATTGAAAGACAATGATAGAAAAGAGTAAAAGAAAACATACAGACATATGGATAATATACTACGATATCTACATAGTAACTTACCCTTATAAGATATAACTAGAGGTGACAAACGGCCGGTTGGGTCGGATATGAGCGGGTCGAAAACGGGTAATTCAAAAAACGGATAAATTGTCCGACTCGACTTGTATTTGAGACGGATAAAAAACAGGTTATCCGGTGGATAATATAAATATTCATATCATCCATGGCTTCTTGAATATGATCACATATGAGAGAATTCCTAGTCTCCCAAACTTGAGGAGCCCCAATTTGAGGCTTTACAAATGTAAAAGTTAAACACATTAGTTATCCATTTGATTAACCATTTTTAAAGTGGATAATAAAGATTTTTATCCATATTCGACCCATTTTTAAAAAGTTCATTATTCAACTCATTTTTTAATGGATAATATAGGTAAATAGCTATTTTCTTTTAACCATTTTGTCACCTCCAATTATAACTATGATATCATACTTTTTTCTCTACCATGTTAACTTATATTTATTATTTTACAATTGTTAGAATACTGTAACTTATATAAGTAATTATTTATATTTAGAGAAATGGTTAGACAAAGTGATACTAAGTCCCTAACAAATGAAGAAAAAAAATGCTGGAATAATAATAACACATTGTAGCTCTATTTCATGTCTCCCTAAAGGAAAGAAGAAAAAGATAAAATAAAGTGTATGCTTTATGTCAGAAAAGTTCAAAAAGGCTTACACATATAGCCAATAATAACTCTTTCAGTCCTGTGATGGGAAAGGGAAAGCCCAACCTTTCCATCACCTACAGCCTTTCACAAAGACTGACACCAATAATAGCACATAAATGGCCATTTTGCAATGCTAGTCAAGACCATCCCAGAGATCATTGACTGAAAGGTACCTTTGACCAGTCCTTTTGCCATGCCCTACACATGTTTGCTCAGAACTTTTTTAGTCAGTCTTTCCCAGTGCTCTATTTTTCACTCACATTTCTGAAAGGTGTAGAAAATAACACAACTTATCTCAATTACTTTAGTATATTTATTCACTCCTTTGCAATTTGTGGAGCATGGGTGTCAAGTGCCAACTTGATAATATTAGATCAATTCTAAAAAAATAGATACATAATACCTAGTTTGGCGGAAAGACAATGAGTTTACGTGCCCCATAAACTATCCTATAAATCCATTCCTCGCTCTCACTAAGCTGGTGGCTTCACTTATCAGTTTGTTTGTACACATTTTGACTATCCTACTGATATATGCTACCTCCCACACTCTTGATGCTTAGTGTCACATTAAACTATCTTTTTAAACCCAAAAAAGTAACTGTCTTGCAAAATTAGAGATTGTGAGAAGTTCAATTTTAACCAAAGAGAAGTATACAAAGGAAATGGCTTAAATTGCATTCAATGAATTAATAATGTTACAATCAGGCCTTCAACCTGGAATTATTTGAGAGGATATATAGTATGAAACGACAGGCATAATTCAGGTGGAATACTATCCACAAGATTGATGAAGATACAATAATAACAACAACAAATCCAGTGAATTCCCACAAGTAGGGTATGAGAAGAGTAGTGTGTACGCAGACCTTACCCCTACCTTGAAAAGACAGAGAGGCTATTTCTGATAGACCCAAACACCCTCGGCTAAAGAGAAGAAGATTAGCAAAGATACATGATGACCATAATCAAATATTCATCAGCACTGTACAATCAATTGGAATTTAATAATTATAGTCTCTCTTGTTATATTTTCCTAAAGTACTTCTTCACCAAATGAGTAAGAAGAATTAATGACAATATAGCTACATAATTTAGGGAGCTGATTGATTCTTGTTACCAGCCAAAGCAAGGATGGAATTAGCAAGTTTATTGATAGAATCCACAAGTCCATTGATTCCTTCCCTATTGATCTCAGCGTTTGACTCCTCAATTTGCAGCCTTCTCTCATGCAAAGTTAAGAGTTCTCTGTGCCTTCTCTCTTCTCTCTCTTCACAAGACTGAATTGCTTCTGCTATAATAGCAGCACTTTTGGAGATAGCAGAGCCAACTTCTTGTGATGAGTTGTTAATGTTACCTTTTGCTGTGCCACTACTGGTTCCTTCACCACTCATTCTTCTTTTCTTGGCTGGTGAATCTGAACGATGATCACTTGTATCAGGATCTGAGCTATCACACATCTCCAATACATAAACATAGAGTAAATGAAACTCCATTAATATAATATAGTGTAGTAAATATTGGATAAATGAAATGTCACTATTAAGAATCTTGAGTGATTGAAACAGTCAAAACTGTCAATGTCTTCCTAGATTGATGTGTTAGATTGAAATATATCAAATGCAAATATAAGATCCATATCTAGCAAGCATTAAAACGTCCCTATCTCCCTCTCCTACCTAAGGGAAACATACAAGAGGAGAGAGAGAGAAGAAAGAAAAAAAACGGTAAAAAAACTTAAAAGAAGGCAATTCAAAGAAATNTACACTCAACTTGAGAGGACGTGTTGTGCCTTAACCTGGGTAGCGCAGAAGTTGAAACATTACTTGTCAGCATATACCACCTATCTTATCTCTCGGTTGGACCCGCTGAAGTACATTTTTCAGAAGCCTATGCCCACAGGGAGGTTGGCGAAGTGGCAAATCTTGCTTACGGAGTTTGATATTGTCTACGTGACCCGGACTGCAATGAAAGCACAAGCGTTGGCTGATCATTTGGCCGAGAATCCAGTTGATGATGAATATGAACCTTTGAAAACATACTTCCCCGATGAGGAGATAATACATGTTGAAGAATTAGAACAAGTCGAGAAGCCAGGATGGAAACTCTTCTTTGATGGAGCTGCCAACGCCAAGGGTGTCGGGATAGGAGCAGTACTGATTTCTGAGACAGGGCAACACTACCCTGTTACTGCTCAACTTCGTTTCTATTGCACCAATAACATGGCTGAATACGGAGTTCTCTGTGCCTTCTCTCTTCTCTCTCTTCACAAGACTGAATTGCTTCTGCTATAATAGCAGCACTTTTGGAGATAGCAGAGCCAACTTCTTGTGATGAGTTGTTAATGTTACCTTTTGCTGTGCCACTACTGGTTCCTTCACCACTCATTCTTTCTTTTCTTGGCTGGTGAATCTGAACGATGATCACTTGTATCAGGATCTGAGCTATCACACATCTCCAATACATAAACATAGAGTAAATGAAACTCCATTAATATAATATAGTGTAGTAAATATTGGATAAATGAAATGTCACTATTAAGAATCTTGAGTGATTGAAACAGTCAAAACTGTCAATGTCTTCCTAGATTGATGTGTTAGATTGAAATATATCAAATGCAAATATAAGATCCATATCTAGCAAGCATTAAAACGTCCCTATCTCCCTCTCCTACCTAAAGGGAAACATACAAAGAGGAGAGAGAGAGAGAAGAAAAAAAAGAAAAAAACTTTAAAGAGGCATTCAAGAATGGTTTTGTATCGGCAGTGCAAGAACAGCTGAAATGGATAAAATTAATCTTGGAAACAATCTTGATTAATAAGCTACTCTATATTTCAAGAAAGCAAAGAAAAAAAAAATTGTATTTGAAAAGTGCTAAAAATATGCTCAATAGCATGAAAGTATGTTGTCAAAGTAGGAAAAAGGATTTAAAAAAAGGTCAGAATAATTATGGGAAAACCTAGAAGGATATCAAGCAAATTAAAATCAAGATTCAAAATGTAACATAGACGGGGCAAAAGAACTTTAATTTCTCTCAACCAAAGTCAAATAATATACTTTACTACTTTGCCAAAGTAAACTTTATATCCAAGTCATGGGGTTCAGAAATAAGCAACAGTAAAGCAAATGAGAGTGGACTTTAAAATAGTACGTAGTTAAATAGTGACCATTATATTTACAGTGTTTTGTAATGAATAAAAAAAGGGTTGGAGATAAGAGTACCTACTGTGGGAAAAGGATATTGACCAGTGTAAGCAACATCAGAAAGTTGATGAGCTGCTGTTTGTGCTACTACTGTTGGTGGTGGTGGTAATGGTAGTGGTGGAAGTGGCAAAGGTGTAATTTGAGGTTGAGTTGATTGTTGTTGCAATGTAGGAGGCAAAGAATTCGAAGCAGGCAAAAATCTTTGGCCTTTTCTGTCCACAACTTCAACTAATGCCTCATAAATCTGAGGCAACATATTAGTAGGCAAACTTTTTTCTTTCCTTTCATTCTTCTCAATCTTCCAATAAGATCTCATAATTTCTTCTCCACCTTCTGCTGCTTTCTCAGCCTCTCTTCTTTCATATTCTCTAACTTTCTTGAAATCTCTCATGAGATTATCCCATTTGTCATTACACTGGTTTTGGCTCCTCAAACAACCATTTCTCCAACAATAGTCTTCAACCCATTTCCATCTTAGCTCTGTTGGTTTTCCCCTTTCACTAATATCCCCTTGCCTTCTATTTCTCCTTTCATCGTCCATTTTCTTTGCTTCTATAAGTACCATAGTTTCTTGTACTGTCCAATTCCCTTTTCTATAGTCCCTCAACATGCTACTCCCGCCTTGATCACCTACCAATATGTTATCCATGCAAAAATATAACAGCAAAAAGAAGAAAAGGGTGTTTTTTTGTTTAGCTTGTTTTGCAATATAGTATATGACAAGAACAAGTATGGTATTTTGGGGTATATGATATGAAAATGGTTTATGTATGGTTTTTGAAATTTGGAAAAATGATGAGAAGTAGTGAAGAGCAATCTCTTTCTTCTTATCTTACTTCATGTGCCTTTATAACTAGCTATCTTCCTCTAGCTCCAAATCTTCAAAAAACTTAAACTGATAAGTGTTCAAACCCAAGACTAGTGATTCAAGTAACTATATATACCCATAAAGTTGCATAAATTTAAGAGAAAAGAGTGGATATAGGGAGAGGGGTTGGTTTAATAGATTGGAAGGGAGAGACTAATTAATTAATGGAGAAAGAGAGAGAAGAAGTAAGTAATGAAGAAAGTGTGTCCATTATAAGAAAAGGCCAAAGAAATCCATTCAAACTGACATATCCACAACCCCCAAAAAATTTCACTCAGCGAGAGGGAGGGGTGGACTGTGGGGTTGGGGTATAGCCGTATAGGGGGTTCGGTGTGGTCTGCGTGGGTCGGGGGTGGGGACTAGGAAGAAGGCTTCAGGGGCTAACTAGTCATTTGCTGCATGTAATTTGATGAGCATAAACACATACGTCACACGTGGTTAAGCCAACAGCTAGCCATAATAACACCAAGACTTTCTTTAATTTGCACATTTTCGATATGAGTAATTCATAAAACGGAAAAAAAGGCTAAAAGTACTCATTCTTTTCGTTTCATGCCAAAGGCGGATTTAGAATTTTAAAAAAATAGCTGTTTTATCATAAAGAGTTAATGGGTTCAATTATAAATCCAATCATCATTTTGAAAATTTAATTTCAAAATAATTTTTTTGTTGCAATTTTTACAATATATATTTATACCCCCGGTAAAAATATGATGGTCATTGAACCCGTTGACTATATGTTACATCCTCCATTGTTTTAATATAGATATTTGATTTAATCATATAAAAATTTAGGATGATAAAAGGAGAATAGAATAGGGATTTCAATGGGTTGATACGAGAATTTTAAATGAATAAACAATAAAATAATTAATAATAATAATAATAAAATACAAGAGGGAACTAGACATGCCCACAAACTTGAGTTTGAAACCGTGAGCACAATTATAATAAAAGAAAGGAAAAAAATAACAAGATAGACACGAGATTTGAACCCCCCAATTTTATTTGTAAAGGTGCATTCAACAATCATTATACCATAGGATTACAATCATTATAAATTGGAATAAGCTTTCAAGCCAATTACAAATGAGATATGATAGGACATATTTTGTAAACAATCCTATTTGTAGTTTAACAAATCAATAAAGGCATCCTTCATCCCATAATGTGCCATGTCTTTCTATACTTCTTTATTGGATCAACCAACTGGATCATGGCAGAGGCGGCCCAAAAGGTCCTGGAGGCCCGTAAAAGCCCATTGGGCCCCTAAAACAGTCTTGTAAATGCCAGCAACAGCAGAAGAAGCTCAGGCTGTACAAATTTACACGTGCAAAACATTAAGTTCAGTTCAATAACAATAAGCTTAAGCATCAATATTTTGATGGCGAGTAACATTTAAACATTCAAGAAACTCAAGCTTATAGAAAAATACCCAAATAAAAACAAAGCAAAACCAAATTGTTTTCTAGTCCAAAGATTTTGTTTATTTTTTCTCCTCAAAGATTAAAAAAATATTCGAAAAACATCTAAAATTTTGAAATATAGAAGAAAACAATTGGTTCCAAAATGACTTACCAAGAACCTATAAAATTACATAAACCACCAAAGAAGCCACAAGGTCCTGGCATTGGGGGTCCTCCGAGACCTAGAGGAGGACCCCATCCACCAGGTCCAGGTCCTGGTCCTGGCCCCGGTCCGCCTGGTCTCATAATTTCACCTAGGCTAGATTAACCAAACCTAACCAAATCCCTTATACTAACAATCACAATATTGGAACAGCTTTAGTTTACTTTCAATCTTGAGTTGGAACAATATATAAAGGTATTAAGTTACTAAATATATACTGCTCTCATCTACCATTCTCTAGTCTACTAGTCAAGATAAAGCTTCACCTAATCTTCCTTTCTTCTAAGTATGCACCCTTTTAGTGCATGCAAGTATCTTAACCTGAATATATAAGGTCTTTTGTTATTATATAGATTATATATGTAAAACTAGACTAGCAAGTAAAACAGTGTTAAGGATCAGTTTTCAACAAAAATATCGTATTGGCTAATCAGTCACAGACCAAAGAGAGAGTTGTGAAGTGGACTTGTTTACTCATGAACAATAATTCTACTACTGTTTTTTTCCATAACATCCTATATAAAATTCTTTAACAAAAAATTGTGGGAGTTAAATATGAAATAACTCATATATATAAAACATTATGTGTAAACTTGACAAAGAAAGTAAGGACAATAATTTTAAAAAAAAATAGTAACGTTAAAATCTGAGGGAAATGTTGGTCTTTTCTTATTGATATTGGTGAAATCATTCTTGAACTAAAGATAGTGATAGAGCTTACTTGCTGCTAATAATGTAGAGGTAAAATTGTCTTTTCTATTTCCTCGCCTCTCCGACCCTAACCAATGGCGAATTAGGAATTTTTCCAAGGGTATTTAAATTTGAAAGAAGTTAAAGAAACATTGCGACAAATTAAAGGTGTTCAATATGTATTATATACATCTAAAATGTAATATTTTACCTATATACACAGTGCAATTTTTCGACGAAGGGTGGTCAATTGACAACCCTTGTGACCATGTGGCTACGCCACTGACACTAACTAAAGCAAATGTTACATTCTGTGTTCACACTTAGGTAGCAGCAACTGTACTCTTGAATGGTTGACACAAGTCCACTAACATAAGAATAACTTGATAACATAAGAATAAATTCGTCAAGAACAAAAATTACTAGAAAAAAACAATATTCCAAATGTGCATAATTGTATATTTATCATATATTTTTTCTTTCGTTTTTAAAGGAAAAGGAAAGGAAATGCTACACATGATGAAGTTATCCTCCATGCCACGATGTAAAAGACAAATATTTTATTAAGCGAGCTCGCTATCAACCTCATATTTATTGTGCATAATTTAGTAGTTATCTCGTTATTGTTAATATTCTATCACGTTATTTAATATTTCTAACATTCTCTTACACTTTGCTCCTAAAATGATAAAAAAGAAAATCATATTCTTTTCATCTCATTTTATGTGATGGTTTTGAACAATTATATACGAGATTAATATTATAATTTGACATATATTAAAGTAATTCATAACTTTTTTGAATAGAATGGAATATTGGAATATATCACTTATCGCCATGTAAATTCAGGAATTAGTTATTCCCACGCGGTGTTGGCAAAAAGCTGAAATTAGAAACCCAGTTTGTGTCTGAAGCTGCTCTTCACCAATGGTGTCGTTGTAAGCAATCAACCACTATTAATTACTTGTCAATTTATGGTTTTCAGTCAATGATTCTAATCATTAGATCTTCATCTTCAATTCCAGGTATAACACTGGAGTGGAATTGGGCAATGTATTGGTAGGATCAGACCTATTAAATCATTCATGGGATGCAATTTCGAAGCTTCAAAAAGATACTCTTTTGGTGGATCAGAACCAATCTCTTCCTTTCTCTGCTAAATACCAAGTTTATGACTATCCACCAACAAAGGGTTCTATTATCGCTTTTGTATGCTCACCCAATTGTGCTGTAAATCACTTGCAAGAAGAAGAGTTTAGAGAGCTTGTTTCTTCTGATGCAATTACGTCCTTTGATTTTCTCTGCACTAAAAGTAACAGTTCCGTTTCCCTTCATAAAGCTGCTTTTACCCTTTTTGCTTCTCTTGAGAATGAGCTCTCTCTTCTCAAACACCAGGTACACTGCCTTAAATTGTTTATAATTTCCCCTTCTTCTTTCATGTATATTGCGTGTTAGCGTTTTGAAATTTTGAATATATATATTCTCTGTGTTCCCAAAATGGAACAATTTGTTAGTCAATTGGAGTCGATTGAAAATGTAATCTTTAGTTGATCATCTAATTTGTGTTAATGTAGAGAATATACAGATTAAAGTTATTGAGGAATCATTTAAATGGTATGGTTTTCAAAAGGTTTGGTTTTTAGTATTGAGGTAGACAGTTTAATGAGATTAGAACGGATGGATAATTGGGAACTGTAATTAGACAGGAA